TGAAAAAAGAGCACATTCCTGACACATTCTGTAGGGAAAGTGTGTAGCAACTTCTTGTACACAGATTTCTGATTGGCTACATAATATGTAACAGCAGAAATGAACATTTTTGATGCTGAGTTTGTTGAAGTATTTTCTGCCCACTGGCTTGCTTTTGTCTTTATTTTACAAAAACTGCATGCAGACATGTTCAAATGAACAACTCTTTACCTCCTTGTTAAAACAATCAATGATTTTTTTCATAATTATTAGAATGTTACTTTTCACTGGTTTGATTGGGCTAATTATAAGATGGATTGAATGCCAAAAGAAAAGAAAAGGACAAACCATGATACATTTTCAAGTAATCATTATTCCAAGCACTACTTTTCCTAGCAGAAATTCAGGGAGAAGTTCCTTTTAGTTTAACAGCATCTGTGTTGTTTGATCATTACAAGCCTGACCCTGTAGAAATGTACCACAATGTATGCTCCAAGATTTGCTTGGTCTTTGAAATGTTAGAAAAGCATGACAAAGCAAATCCAAAAAAGCTGGTAGGAAGTTTTAAAATATATATATATAGAGAGAGAGTGCATTCATGTTGCCAAACTAAGAGCCAAAAAACCCAGTCAAAGTAGTATCAAATATTTATGTGGTTACTGTTTTTTTGTGGGTGAAATATATATATTTCTGTAGCTAAAATGCAATTAAGCATCACACAAAAATAACAGTGACTACATAAATACCTAATGCTGTATTGACTGGGTTTTTTGGTTTTTAATTTGGCAACGTGAATACTCTGCCACACTAAATATGTGCAAAAATTAAAATATTTGTGTTATTAAATCATAGAAAATTGCTTTAAAATCTCCTAATACCATAGGCCGTATCCTGATTTAATTACTCCTGTAAAAGTCCCATTGATGGAAATAGGAGAGTGCGTATGAATTTTGACTGACTGAATAAGGACTGAGAGTCTGATCCTACAGTCCCTTATTCACTCAGATAGTGCCTACTCTTTTGAGCAATCCTATTGGTTTCAGTAGGTCTACTTAGGTAAGTAAAGGTTTGTGGGATCAGGGATTGAGTTAGGACTTCAGGATTAGTCCCATGTTTGAAATATTCATTTTTTGCTCTGTTGAAGGTTGGTATGGCTGTGAACCCTACAAGTCTAGTCAGACGTGAAAGAAAGGGTGTCAGTGATTTACTGTAACCTTGTGAATCAAAACAAAAACCCAAGTGTTCCAAGAAAGATAGTATCAAAGATAGCAATTAAGACATCTCTTGCCAGCAGAAGGAATTTCATCAGTCAATCGTATATTGCTGCGTCATTGGCTAGAGAGCTCAACCCTGGGGAGGAAAAATAAAGCTGCTCCCATTGTCCCACCCAGCATGCCACATCCCTAAAGCACAATTAATGTCAAGGACATACACAGGAGTTGCCCAAAATCCCACCTTCCGTGCACTTTCAAGAGGCGAAAGGAGCGTGTTCATAAAATCTCGCAGAAATATTAAAGATACAAAAAAACAACAGGAAGCAAAATGACTTGCAAACAGAATAATTTGAAGGGAGTATATCTTTTTGCTTTGCCTGACACTGATTTACTAAAAGGGTGGGGTGGGGGGGAGAGAAGAATTGAACTTTTCAGGTGGTATTTACTGAGAGAAACGGAGCTGTCCCAAAGCTTTTATTAATCTGATTTGCAGAGTATCCACTAGCATCTGGGGACCTACTAAAGTTTTCTTTAAATCGGACGTGAAGAGGTCAATGCAAATAGCATTGTGGATTACACTATAAGAAAATGGCAATTCCTTTTACCCTATGGAGAAATAAATGAATTATTTTGCTTTTGTGTACTGATTATTTATTAAAAGAAGGCTCTGATGTGCATCGATTGCTCCCTGTTTCTAACTTAAGGAAATAAAGTGTTTCCATCACTTTGACCTAGAGTGATAGTTTTATTTTTTCCATCTATAGCTTCTGGGTGGCAGTGTGGGCTCATGGATAGGGCACTGGATTGGGTGTAAGAACACCTGGGTTCTATTACTGACATTGACTGGCTGTGTGACTTTAGGCAAATTACTTTACTTCAGTGTGCTTCTGTTTCCCCTCCCACCCTTTGTCTGACTTTTCTATTTAGACTGGAAACTGTTTGGGGCAGGCATTCTCTCTCATTATGTGTTTGAAGAGTGCTAAGTACAGTGAAGCCACAAAATCTCCTCTGGGGCCTCTAGGCACAAATGTAACACAAATAACAATAGTAGTAATCTGTGAAGTTGTGATTTAGAAATAGTTCTGATTTTGGTCACTGTTCTGATCTTTGCACAGCCTGCACTCTTTGAAAGAGAATGTTAAGTGTTTGCCTAACTTCTCCATTAGTATTTCCATACATTGAAAAGGGGAATCTTGCTTGCCACACCTTCAGATGCATAGAATCATAGAATATCAGGGTTGGAAGGGACCTCAGGAGGTCATCTAGTCCAACCCCCTGCTCAAAGCAGGACCAAATCCCAACTAAATCATCCCAGCCAGGGCTTTGTCAAGCCGGGCCTTAAAAACCTCCAAGGAAGGAGATTCCACCACCTCCCTAGGTAACGCATCTCCAGGTGTGTGCAGGAGGAAGAGCTGAATTTGAAATAATGCACTATGAAAATATTGGTCCTGTCTGTCCTGTATTTATTTGGGTTAAATCTAGTTTAAAATAGTCAACAGTGTATTTGACCACAGTTAGGTAGTTCTATGTTTTTGCCCTACTGACAACATCCCTTGAATTGGAGGGGGGTATATAATATTTTCCTTTCCATTACATGTGAATAAATGTAAGGTTTATAATAAATGGGTTCTTACTCCTAAGCATTACTGTCTACTTTTGAACACTGAGTCTTGATTTAAAATATCCCCCCCAGAAATCCCTGGTGTGAAACAGAGAAAATCCGGTATATTACAGACAATTTTCTGTAATGTGAAATAATTCCAATTACTCACTTGTAAGAGTTGTGCTGAACTAGCTAACAGCCTCGTGTTAAAAAGTGCTAATTTCCCCAGTTGCATGCATACATATATCTTACTATCTGCAAATCAAAATGTGGTAATATAATATCATGTACAAAAGGACCCACTTACAGGTGCACTTAATCTGGATTTGTTTATCTTTCTGCAGGCTATGTGGCTGATGTTGCAAACGGATGAGCCAGAGGACTTTGTCATAGCTACTGGGGAGGTCCACAGTGTCCGTGAATTTGTGGAGAAGTCATTTAAACACATTGGGAAAACCATTGTGTAAGTATGAATAGGAGCTAGCAGCAATGGGTTTCTGAATCGTATCAACTATTGACATGTGGCTTTGATTTTGCCATTACATAGCAATATTTTTTTTTTGTATTCTTTTTCACTTTCACGTTTCTTCTGTTTGTAACATAAGGCCTCTGGATCTGAATCACTGACTCTCGCTCAGCCTATCCAATCGCAGGGTATTGCTCCAGCACCCTCCCCTCCACCAAAAACATATCTAGCAGAATTTCATCCACTCCAGGTGGGGTAGGTTGTAGATATCTCATCTCGGCATTCTTATAGGCTGATCCTTTTCCATTGTAAATCCCATCTTCCTGCCCTCAGTTGCCCTCCCTACTCTGGGAGGGCTGACCACCTCGGCCGAGATTACAGTGCTATACCATTCTGTACTGGCTCGTAGGGAATGGATGTTTTAGACACATTTTATTGTTGGTGCACTTTTGTCCTCATCACCAGTCCTGAAACAGAAACTGCCACTTCAGCCACATTCCCAGACTCCGCCAGTTTAAGATGTCACACCTGTAAACTCGATTCCTTTCTGTGTGGCAGCATGTTGGCCACACTGCTGGGACTATATAGCAGCATCGCTCTGCATTCTTCTTAGTTCTTGTCCTACTGAGGCATAAAAATGTTGAGCTGTGGGTGCAGAAAGTTTACAGTGCATATTCTGCATAGTTTGACTGAAAATACAAAATTCCTTCTCAAGGCCAGATAATAAAATCAGGCTGGCTTTGTGAATGCTTTCTGTAATTTATATTTTTATTGTTTATTATTTTTTCAATTTCCCTCCTTCTGTATCTTCTCTGGGCCCCATGCATCAACATACCAATCTCAGCTGGAAGAGGGAGAGGAAAGCCACAGGCTCTTCCATGACGCGAGCACCAGGGCTCTTCCTCAGGCCATCAAAGACACTGGTGCAGCTGGTGAACTTTTGACAGGGCCAGTAAGTTTTACTTGGGAGCAAAAACTTGACACATTCAATAAATATGCAGAAGTGCACAGATATATACAATATTATTTGAATAGTCAGTGGGTGGTTGGGTAGATAATAACATTTTCCCTTAATGAATGTTAGTCTGGTTTCAATTTTTGGCATTTACTTTCAGAAAAATTCAGAGGGGCAGTATAGTAATGAACTCCCAGCCCCAAAGCTCGATTTTAGGATATTTTTCTTCAAATATTTAGCATCTTTCTTGATTTGCTTGCCCATCTTCTCTACCTCTACACAATTAACAGTGTGAACTTTAACCACAGTGACATTTTTCAAGGGCACTAGGAATTGTTTCCTCTTTCTTTTTTTTTCTGTATTTATTATGTTTCTTTTTTTATGACTGACTTTCACTGGTAAGTATTGTTTTACATTGAAATCAAGTGAAACTTTAGTGTTTACTGTGGAAACTGTTGTTCTGTACAGATGCGTAATCTTATGATATCCAGAACGCTTTCTTCTGTCTCCTGTTGGATGTTGCTCTGCATTAAGAAGACGACTTGGTGGTCAAAATTTTTAAATGTGGATGTCTAAAGTCAGGCACCAAAATTCATGTTTAGAAGTGCTGGGCATCCACTGACTTCAAGTCTACTCACCTATTTAAAATTAAATACCCTACTTAAGAGTTTTGCTGGACTGATCTAGTGTACTCGGCACTTCCAGGATCAAGAGCTAAATGATATATTCTTGTAAGCAAAAGAAAAAATAAACTCTGAACTCATCTGCCCCGCAAAGGAAAGGAAAGCAAAAGGGAAAGAATTTTGCAAATAGCTCCTATTATAAATAATGAGGAAAACCCCATTTTCAAAAGTCACTTAGGTACTAAGGTCTCTACCTTCCATTGAGTGTCAATGAGATGTAGGGATTTAGGCTCCTAAATCACTTAAGCATTTTTGCCCTTTTTGATAGAATTTATTAACTACTCCCTTAAGCAATATCTGGCAATACTAATATATTCACTTATGGATCTAGTAAGGTAATGTGTTAATATAGTTTTTGCCATTTGGGTGCATAAAAAAGATGTATATTATTTAAGTGCTAATTACTTTTGCTTTGAGAACAGCACAGTTGTGATAATTTTAATATAGTTTCCCCCAATCTCAGCTAAATGGGGTTGATAATAGGGATAGACAAAAATGTTTAGTTTAATGTAAAAACCCACCTCCACATCCCAAAACCATTGCTCTTCTCTTAAACTGAACTAAATCTAAAAGTTTTTTGAGGTTTGGGAAAGATTTTTGTTAGGAACCTTCCTGATTTTCTAGGTTCCAACATGGCCTCTATGCCTTCCCAAAACATACACTCACTCTCTCCCCTTACTACTGCTGTCTTCTTGGCTGGATGGCTGGCAATCTTTTACCTCTCTGTGGAACCCTTGAGGGCCTGTTACCTTGAAATTGGAAGAGGTGGGGTATTGTCTTTGGGAATTAACCAGGCAGTCAGTCCCCTTCTCCACTCTAGTACGTCCTATTGATCTACCACTTTAAAATTAATGATGGACCAAAGACGTGATGCTCCAGAATGCACTGTGTGATCATTAAATCAACTCCTGCAAGAACAAGCTGATTCCTCCCTCCCTCCTTGTGAGATCAGTTTTTCATGGGAGTTATGAAATTTCAGGATCTCAAATGGCACTCTTGGGAATAAGCTCCTGGCTGCCTTTTACATTTTTAAAATGACAACAAATCTTCCCACTGCTGCCCCACAGTGCACCAGTGGTCTTTCGAAATCCACAGCTTCTGTAAGCTGTGCCCGGGAACTGTGGGATAAGTATCCAGAATGCAATGCCTTGAAACCCTTCATGACAGGGCAAGCCTGCAATGGTTCTTTAACCCCTTCAGCTGGGCTAGTTTGTGTTTGTGAGTGTAGTAACAAATGTCTGTCCTCCAGTGCAGACACAGCCATCGTATCTTTGGTTGCTTGATATTGCAGTATATGGTATCCAGGAAAATAGTTTTGAATGCTCCATCACCACATTTAAACTTCTCTCATCATTTGTACAGTCATTTTTCTTTCTCATACATACTAATTTGTGCAGCTAAACACACAGTACAGACTAATAAACCTTTCAATGAAGTTACATCATACTCTCTTAGTCAAAGATTACAACATTTTATTTTACCATATTATCTAATCTAAAACATGAAAAAAGGAAAATGTTAGTACATCATGTAAATAATTAGATACATAGCTACAACAAGACGAGCGTGTTATTTCTCTGAAATGTAGTATAAAATGAACACAGGTTTATTTTGTGTGGATTTTTCTCTTAACACTTTTTTTACCAGGAAGAAATTTGAAATGATATTTATAGAATGGCTCAGAGTCATTCTAATTCAGGCCTTTGCCCTGACAGGAAAGCCTCTGAGCGACAAATATTTTTCCCCTGTAAGTATTACACTTTTTTTTCTTTTTACTTTCCCTTCTACTTATTACTAATTAAGTAATACTAGGGGAAAACACTTCCCTCCTATAATTTGAACTACAGCAGGGTTAAACCAAACAGGCAAACGCTTGTCTTGACTAATTTTCTGTCATTAATCTTATTAAATTAGAACAGGATTGCAAGATAGCCTGAAACCACTACAGCACTCAGAATTCTTTTCAGACTGCTGTCTGCAAATGGCAAAAAAAAAAAATCTATTCAGGTAGTGGAAAGATTTGTTGTATTTTTTGTTGTTGTTGTTAATATAAAACTGCATGTACATTTGCAACAGAAATATTCATTGCTTCAAGGGCCAGAATTAATGCAGGAAGATGAACACTTTACAACACTCATGGTGGCTCCATGTTTTATTCTTTGTGATAGTTAACTTGCCACCTAGTCTGTAATGATCACCCCACAAATGGGATTCCCTATAATAATAAGAAGAAGGTCTGATGAGGTGAGCCGCTGGAAGCCCAGGAGTGTTTCTCTCTCGGTGATGTGGAACAGCAAATGGGAAGAGGAACTGAGAGTGACTTTTTTATTTTAAAATGGAAGATTAGGATTAGGATGTAGGAACACGTGAGAGAGATTGGAAGGACTACTGAAGGAATGCAAAGCAGACAGTCCAGTGGTAGTGATGTGGGGAAGGGGAAAGGGAGCCGTCCAAAGACTTCATGAAGCGTCACTGGTTTCACATCTGGCTTTTGACCACAAGGTCTTGCTGTCTGGCCAGTGACTGTGTGTATTTAGCAGTATGAGAAAATCAGAAGCTTTCAGATCAGGAAGAAGGGAACTGAAGCGCACACAAACTGAAGAAAATGTGAGAGTGAAGGATGGAAAACATCCAGGCAAAATGTATTTGTTTAGGTAAATTCATACATACTGTTTCATTCTTTTGATTTTTTTCATTGTTACTTTCTCTTTACAGTAGGTATTGTGGTATCACTTTATACACCTCATGCCAGGCAATCGAGTCACCACCTTATAAACCCGACACTCTCTGAACTCTCTGATCACATGAGTTTTAGGAACTGGCAGGTGAAATAACTGCCCAAGCGCCTCAGACTGATTCTTTATTAATTATTCATATTTATTTTCATGTGCCAAAAGTGCTGAAATACTGTGAGTGGCTGTTCACATAGTATTTCTATTCACATAGAAACAGGAAGTACTGAAAGAACTTTCAACAGAACCTGATGCAAAATTTGGGGTTGGAAATCTTGCAGACTCAAGGAGATTTGTTTAACTTGGTCAACAGGGAGAAGCATGCTTTGACAGGGTGCAGTAGCCCCGTCTGATCCCTGATGAACAAAGAGTTAATTTCAGTTGATTTTCCCCCCTCCCATTGTACAGATGCTCATGGAAGGGAAAACTGAGCTGAAGTTAAGTGTTTTCACCAGTGACCAGGCAATGACCATTCTCCCTGTCATTCATCCAAACATTTTGGGTAATTATCTGATCTAAACCTTCAGACCTTTTGAGATTCACAATTGTTAAATGAAAACATTTGCTCCTGAACACAAGTGTTCCTAATAGGATGCAGACCTGCCAACTCTTGCAATTTTATCCTGAGTCTCATGATATTTGGTTGTTTTCTTAAAGCCCCGGCTCTTGTTGTCAAGTGATTTTTTGAGAATCTCAGGTTTCATTTTTTTTAAAAGTAAATTTCTAGCCCTCACAAAAGCTTGAGCAGGTGAAGCCTAAAGGTTGAAAAATCAGAAGGCAAATAAAAAGCTACCCAAAATATATTATTTTAACAGTCTAATTTTTAAGACAATTTCATGAGGTTTTGGATCTGCCTCATGATTTCTGAACACTTGCAGTTGGCAATATTGGGAATGTACAACTCGGTTACTCTACTGTGGTCAGTCAAATTATGGATATGTGGGTCCAATTAATCAAACCACTTGAACACATGCTTAAGTTCATCCCTATTCAGCAAAATACTTAAGCATGTACTGAAGTTCATCCCAATTTAAATTAAACAATTTAGGTTAAGTTGAATTAGGGTTTGTAGAGTCAAATTTAAAATCTAATCACATGCAATAATTTTGTGACATGACAGGGTGGGGTCCCACTCCCGTCTCTTTTCAACCAACAAACCACTCAGAGACCGTCTTCTGGTCAAACCACCTCATGGGATAATTCACCGTGTTCCCACCACCACCTGTACAAACTCGTGCAGCTCTATATTTATGATGTCATACAATCCTTAGTTTGATCAATGGTGGAGTGAGGAGACAGAAGATATCTTCTCCCTGAAAGATCTCTCCTGGCTCTGACTCTGAAAAGCCTGTGGATCTGTCTCTCCCTCCCTTTGCCTTTTCTACCTCTTGGGTAATGGGCTAATTAGCCTTTGGGCTCTGCTCAACCCATCCCAATTCACCAATTAGGCACAGCTCTTCCTAGTCAGGGCTACTCCAGCACACTACTTGTAGTTGCAGTGACCAGAGTGCTGCACCATTTGCTGTTTCCCAGCACTCTCTCACAGACATGCATTAATATTCTGTGTTACACATACTGGGATACTGTTCATAATACACCAGACCAGATCCAAAGGAGTGGGCAACCTAAAGGAATATTGGTGGTAAACTCAATAATCTGAAAAGTCTGTGCAAGTTATATCTCCTGACAGCTGTGAGTGATGAGTGGGATTTTCCTGAAGTTTTGATTTTTTTCCGGCTCTTGTGAGAGGTTTTATTTTTAATCAACTTCTCAGGCACCCCAGAAATAAACGGAGTAAAACACATGTACCATTGCAATCACAGCACATTTCAATGTCACAGCTTGTATGTGAAATGCACAAGCACTCACGTTTTGGAGAGAAGGTAGGTTGTTTGGTTTTATTTGCATATTATCTTGCTGCTGATTAGGATGGTGGTTAAAAAAAAATGCAGGGGAAATCCTAATCTTCAGGACTAAAGAGGAAAAATAATGTTTTACAATCCTAACAAGGATAATAGTAACCTTTTAAAATAAAATTTTACCCCTTCTACTGAGTCCAGCAGTATGAATGTTCATGAGGTGAGAATCCTTTTACACTCTGAACCCACATTTGAAACTTGATCGATTTTTTTTTTTATTTACATGGAAATTTCTGAGGCCTTTTCGTAGGTAGTGTCCACCGTGCTTAAAAGTGACTTCATGTAAGATAAGTATTATAAGACACCCACCATAGGTGTCTAGGTGCCATGCGGGGATAGCATGGAAGCAAGGGCTATCAAATCCAGGTTATCAGTAAATGCAGAAAAAAGATCATTGTGCTCTCCCAGCATCCATATCCTTTTTTCAAGTTCTGGAATGCAGCTAAAGTTATTATCTATTATGAAGGACAATCCACCATGACAGATCCTTCCCCTTCCCCAAACATCCTGCTCTTGGTTTGGAGGGTGTGGTGATCAAATCATTGTGGTGGTGTAGTCACTGTCTCTAAGCATGTATGCGTGTGTCCGCCTCTAAGTGTGTCATGTACGCATAGGGCCAGAGATTGTAAGGTCATGGTTTTGACTCTAGCATTGTGGGAGTTCACTTTCCAGCCTACTTTAATTTAGGCAAACCCTGTTTAACCTAACTTTTGTTAACTAAAACTCTGGGTTAACCTAGAGTCTTCCCCAAATTCCACAAGTACGTTTTATTGCATTGTCAGACTTCAGCCTTGTGAAGCAAAAGCTTAGGGGGTCACTAGGACTGAAGCGCCTAGCTATCTAAAACCATGATGGTATGAAGGTTTCTGATGTCTCTTTCCTCTGACCACCAGACCTTGGGTTAACTTGGCTTTACCTTTTCTAGATTATTAACTGTTCTGAACAGAACATCACTGTGTATTAAAAGATTTTTTTCTTGTGATTTTAAAAACGTATGTAGCAGGTTAGATTAACGTGCTCTTCATATCTAGTCTGTATCAGATGTAATGTCTCTTTTCAGCAAGGTGGTCTCTACTGCTGTAATGCCGGTGTCAGTGATGCCAGTTGTAATTAAAAGTTCTGTTTGCAGTTGCATCTCCCCTTTTGTTCATACTGAGAAATGCTTCTTTCCTCATGAACTTTTCACATTACTGAGCAAAGTGGGTGGAGTTTTCCCTTAAGTTATTTCTATTGTTGTAAAACTTTGATGATGGTAATAGTGAGTGAGTTTCTGTTGGCTCTGAAGAGCCTTTTGTAGACTGTTGGGTGTTAAATGGGGCTCACTGCTCAGTGACCTCCAACAGCAACTGACGTCTCCTGATCCGAGCACTTCCTGTTGTTTTACTGGTGACCGTTGGTTTTCTATTAAGCTCATTTGAGTCCTACTTACTTTTAGCCTTTGCCCTTTAAAGGGAGGGGCTAATGTTAGTTTTGGCTTCTGAATGAAAATGTTTCTTACAGGCTTCAAGCAGAACAACTGCAAAAAAAACAAAAACAAAAGTTAAATCACAAATCATATTTAGCATCCCAATGTTACTCTTTACAATGCTGTAGGCATTATAGCACTGCTGCAAACATTAGTGCAGTTAATGTCTACAGTATACAAAAATTAAATGTTTCCAGCCCCAAGCATGCAAAAGCCATGAGTCAGCCCTCCCCTTCCCCCCCTCAAAAAAAAAATCATGTGATTGGCTTAAAAATCATGAGATTTTAAAAAAAAAGTTTTGTTTTTGTTTTTATTTGCGTGCTGGATTCTGAACCTTTAGGGTGCACTTAGGTCACATTTTCAGGTTTTCTCCAGAACCATGTAGACTAGAAATTTACTTCTTTATTTGTTAATGAAAGCTGAGATTCTTATGAAATTAAATGATTCCAGGAGCTGAAGCTTCAGGAAAAATACCATATATTGTATGATAAAAATCACAAGAATTAGCAACAATGAATATATTTCAGATAAAGGGCACGACAGGTAAAGGGAGGTAAAGGGCACTTCTCTCCTATTGCAGATGATGGAAACTAAATAATCTAAGTCTAAATCACTAGTGCAGCTTTTCAGAGATTTTTAGCTTAACCCCACAAAAGCATGGAATTTCACTACCCCCACCCTTTAATGCTGAAGTATTGCAACACACCCACTGTTCAAAGCTCCCATGCTTAGGCACAAGCTTAAAGGAATAAAGATAGTTTCAGTCTTAACTCTGAATTTTGTAGGTTTCATGAGTCAGATCTTAATATTTTTTGGAAAATTTCTTTTGAAACAGGCCAAATCCACAAACTTCCGATCTGGACTTTCAAACTCCCCAAAGTTAAGGACACATTGGCTCTAGTGATCCAGCAAGTCATTTGTATTATTCTTCAGATCTTGCCAGTTTGGACTGTGCAAACCGTGTTGAAAGGATAAAGTGGGAAGCACATACACAAAATGTTTCGGTACACCCAACAAGCTCCTACAAATTACATTAATATTAGAGTATCAAAGCAGGTAGGAAACTAATTTAGGCCCCAGTTCAGTTAGACACATGCCTAATTTTAAGCATGTGGGTAGTCCCATTCACATTGGGCATGTGCTTAATTACCTGTCTGAATTAGGGCTTAAAACTGAAGAGCCTTTTCTTAGCCTATGTCTACACTTAAAAATCTAGTGTGGCACAGATGCGGTGCTGCAGCTGCACCATTGTAGCACTTCAATGTAGCCACTCACTACAGCCATGAGCGGGATTCTCCTGTCGTAGTTAATCCACCTTCCCGGGAGGCTGTAGCTAGGTCGACAGAAGAATTCTTTTATTGACCTAGCGCAGTCTGCACCCGCGGTTAGGTTGGCTTACCTACATCGCTCTTGGGTGTGGATTTTTCACACCCCTGAGCATCGTAGATGGGTCAGTTTAACCTTTTAGCGTAGACCTGGCCTTAAACTGAGCATGAATTAGAGTATGGCAGGATGGAATAATAGTGCTCTCAAACAGAGCTCAGCTTTGGTAAAGTAAGAGGCAGATACTTGGTTTCCTGTGAGTTTTGCCTTAGTTGTAAAAACAAAAAATATTTTTAAAAATAACATTTTTATCGACTTCATACCAAGCAATGAATAAAAAGCACGTGGGCATATCTTTTAGAAGATAATAAGACATTGGAAATACCAATAAGCTGCTAATTTTATTTTATTTTAATTTTTTTTCAGTATTGTGTGTTTAACTTGGAAGTTCCATGTTTTAGGACTTACAAAGCCCTGGACTTCAAAGGCCATTGTTGCGCCATTCTGGTCAAACTGCTGCCTTTGTTCCTGGAGTTAATGAGTTTATACAGTCCTGCAGAGAGAATTGACACCAGCCTCAAATAAATGAAAACAAGCCAAATGCTACTAAGATCAGAGCACTAAAGTAATTATGGGTTGATTAAATGTTTATCTTCTTTACAGGTGGGAAGGAAAGAATGAAAACGAGGTAGGCCGATGCAAGGAGACAGGCAAGATTCATGTGACAGTCAATCACAAATACTACAGGCCAACTGAAGTGGTAAGAAAATGCCTTCTCTCAGCTTTGCAAATGAATAATCCAATCATTCAGCCAATAAATTGCTGCATTTGACCAGCTGTCTGTGGAAATGGTTCTAATTGCACTCCTGCTGCCAGCTTTCAAATGCTCTAAATTAGGCTCCTCATCAGCCCCCCTTCTCCCTCTTCCCCTCCTGCCCCCCCACCCCCGAGCAAGTTATCCAAAAACAAACAAACATAACAACAATTTCTGGAAAAAATCTGGAGGGCCACATTTGCAGGGTAATAATTGACACAGCTGCAGTGTTTAAGCTACTGTCCTAGCACAGGACAGAAGGAGCATGTAGGAAACTTCACCATGTAGGAAACAAAAAGAAAAGTCAAATCAAAATGTTCTCTTTTTATTAAAAATGCGGTATTTGATCAGCTCTCTTCTGTTAGGAAAAAATGGAGAGGTGGGTTGATAAATTTGCATTTTAAAATATTTCCTCAATATATTAAAAAGAAAAATAGCTTGTAGCTTAATCTATAAACTCCCTCCATTGAATAGCCTGGGTAAAAATTCCATTTTTGTGATCTTTGGTAGTATAATAGTTATGAAATACTCTTTTTAAAAAATGTTTATAGGGTCCAACTTAGCAAACTCTTACTCTCATAAGTAACTTTTATTCACTTGAGTACCCCTATTGAAGTCAACAAGGATACCATAAGCGTGGTCTGCTGGATGGGGCCAATAATGTGTTTGTTCTAACTGAATAGAGAACTTGTGACAAAAAAATTAGTGAATGATTTGTATGCAGCCAAGTGGGGTAATGACAATATATGGTGCTGGCATGGGGCGCAGCCCAGGTTTTTAGACCAGGAGAACAATTGTTCACTGTGCTAACAGCGAGTGGGTGTGCCCAAGAAAGGATGTGTTCAGTCTCCTGAGGAGGACACTACCAGCCCTGCTGGCTGCTGACACAGCATCAGCTGTCAGTGGGCCCATTCAGAAGTGCTGGCATTAACTTCCTGATATGAGTGAGGTGCTACAAGAGCACATTTGTCTTAACACAGATTGCGGAGGGGGAGGAAGGGGGGTGGCATGTTTATAAATGAACAACAGTTCCAAGCTGAAAATTCAAAGAGCAATAGAAACTTTGTTGTAAATAACTATTCAAAATTGCTGGACTCTTATACCAGAACCATTTCAAAAGCTAAGAAGTCTTTAAGAATTGCCTGTCGTTCTATACTTGGGCAAGGTGTCGGAGTGATAAGAGGGAAATAAAGACAAAAGGACTTGCTGAACAGGAAAGGGACACTTCACCCAAGAAGTCTGTGCTGTATAAGCCACTTTCCTGCTTTGTCATCATACCCCCAATACTTTTCTCTTTCCTTGCAAATACATATTCACTCCCCTAACTCATTGGAATTATGTATCTGCTTCAGTGACCTTACTCTAGTTCTACTTTACTCCATCTGTTTGCTGCTTTCCGCTTGAAATAGTTCTGTCCAGGATCTCCCCACTCTGCCTTACCTGTCCCCTTTTTTAGAACACAATTACTGGATTTCAAAACCGTCTGCACTGTGAATAGATTGTTCTGCGACTGTGTTATTGCTCTAACAGGTAAGCATAGATTCTTCTCAGGACCACTGATTTGTGCACCTGCCTGGGTATGTGTGCTTGCAAGTGCACTTTGGTGTTGGTGTGCGTGCAAAGTCCACAGACCTTTGAAAATACAGTCCTATTTAGCTAACATAAAGACTTCTCTTGAACCATGAGAATAAAAAAAAATCTTTAGTGTTTCCTGAAAACAATAAATATATTTGAATTTTGGAACCCACCTAACTGCCACAGCTATACTACCTCTGAGGTCATAGTGTCCTTACTAATGAAACTGGAACTGAATGCACTATTGCAGAGAAGCTCTCACAAGGGTACGGTACAAAAATAAATATCAGTGGATGAACCTCCAAAAAAAAAAAAAAGTTTCCTTGTGCATAAGCCCAGTGAAACAAAGCAAACCATTAATGTGGAATGCTCATGCTGTTGAACACAGAGGCAAGTGTAGGTGTGTGTGTGTGAGCCCAAGGAGGGAGGCAGGGGCTGATGTCGGGGTTTCCCCCTCCCCCTGCCTCAGGACTGGTTGCTTCCTGCCACTGTCTGAACTTACAAGATAGCACGCTGACACACTCTCTGTCCCCCAAAACACACTTTCTCTCTCCCCCCCTCCATTCACACACCCTGTCACACACCCCCCCACACACACACATACACTTCAGTTGAAAAGCAGCTGGCAATGTAGTAGGATGCCTATGGAACAATGGGATTGGGAAACCTGCATCATTTGATGCTGTGCCTGCCCCATGAGGCATTGCAAATCCTTCTCAAAGCACCCTGCAGCCAGTTGCACAGTGGGCTAGCTACCACAATGCACTGCTCTCTTTGCCGTTGCAAGAGCTGCTAATGTGGATGCGCTCCAGCATCACAAGGAGCATAGTGTGGACACACAACAGCAGTTTAATTCCAGCGTTTTAATAAAAGTGGTATAACTTGTGGCGCAGAAACTTGCCAGTATTAGACATACCCTAAAGCTCAGACAGTAAACTTTAATGCAGAGAAGCTTTTTCTTTTTTAAGGTTAATGTAATATTCTGAAATGTACAAACAAATGGACACTGATACTACATACAGTTCTGACTGCATGGATGAGTTCATTTTTTAAATGTATTTATTCCAATCAGTTAACACTCCCTCTGCTTCAATACTGAATTGAAAAACTTAGCAGCTTTAAGCATCCACCCAGCACTGAAGAAGAAACCTTGAAATGTGAGACTATCTTCTGGCTGAACTAAGTAAACTTTGTGAATGCCTTGCCTCTAAATCTGTTGGCTGTCTTTGGATATTGAAACCTTTGACTGCTTTGGGGCCCCCTGGTACTCAGTGGCCTTGGGAATTTTCCCCTTCTGACCCTTTCCCCCTCCCCTTGCTGATCACAGACCTAAAATTTCTTTCTATTTGTATTGTATCCCTCTCTGTATCCAGTCTGACTTTTTTTTTTAAATGTATAGACAGTATAGGCGGATGGCTACAAGGATTTTTGTACAATAACCTTTATACCCTTCTCATAGTCAATAGGTTTCATGAGTGCTGTGTCACAATCCCAAATACACTCTATGGGTTTGTTGCCTTTGTGTTCTGTGATTGTTTTCAAACAGTGTGCTGGCATTTTAAGCACATGGCTCCTTTGCTAAGAGGTGCATGACTAAAACTCCATGTGTACCGCTTGGACAATATAGTGATAACCTCCCCTTACTGTTTCATTTGCTTACAGAATTCAAATCCCTGTGATTCTGGTCTCATTAGCTCTCACTCTTTACTATGGGCAAAATGTTTAAATGTGGATGCTTGAAATAAGGCAGCTTAATCCATTTTTAGGCACCAAAATAAGGGATTGAGTTACCTAGAGCACAGCATGTCTGAAAAATCATGCCTTTTATTGAGGTACTTAAATACAAATTTAGCCACCTAACTTTCAGTGCCCATTAGAAAAAATTTGGCAGTATCTCCCATTTTTTGATCTTTCAAATGTGGTTTATCATTAATTTGCTATCTTCTCATGTACCTAATATTAGAAGCAAGGAATGGCCCAAAACTAAAAGACATCCTAGAAATATCTGAAGAAATTCAGTAAGCTAGCTCTAAGCAGAGACCTCCCTCCAAGACTAACACAATGGCTGTTTATAATCAAATTATGCTTCTTGAGGTGATTTAGCAAAATTGTTTCTAATATTTTTCCACAAGTGATGTTAAGATAACTATTCTATAATTGCTCCCTCCCATGGCCCTCTGTTGTAACAAAGATGTTTAACACTTCCCAGACCTCAGGAATCTGATCTGTCATCAGAGAACTTAAAAAAATACCAGTTAGGATTTCGCTAATTTCAATCTTCATTTCTTCAAGGAAAGGAAAGAATCTCTTTCACCTTGTGGAAATATTATATGTAATCTAAATCTAGCGCTCTGTATATCGTAAGTGGGATCCTTTTTCCCACCCAGTTCCATTGGCATTTTAGGGTTTGTCTAAGGTGGGAAAATTTACACCCAGGCTTAAGTTGCATTGATACATTGTATCTACATTAGGGGTTTGCACTGCTGTAACTACTGCTTATATCAATGCAAATTTCCCTAATGTAGAGACGCCCTAACACTTCTCTCTTACCCGAAGACATATCATTGGTCTTGAAGCAGTTGTCCATCCTCTTCCGTAAAGAACAAAGGCACTAACCTGTTCCTTTTGTTATATCCCCTACTTCCAATTCTGAGCAATTTAGGGGAAGACCATTTCTTTGTTGTTTTCCTTTCTAGTGTAGCTATACTTGACAAAAATTGTTAGCTGGAATGGTCTTGACAGCAGAATGTCCAGTAATTCTTTGTCTTCCTGTAATTATCTGTTTAATCTGCTCCTGCTTGTTTTTAATAGATGTCTCAATCCTCCTTGCCAGCTTGTTTATATTGTGAAAGGATTGTTTTTATTTATTTATTTATTTAAAGTCTTCTACTTATTGCTTACCCTAATCTTTACATCCCTGCTTAACCAGGATAGCTTTAAATTTCACTCTCTTTAAATGTTTTTCAAATATTCAGCTCTATGTTTCCCATACTTCGTAGCATTCCAGTAAAAATTCTTGGGGCATATCACATTCCCCCAAATTCAGATCTCCTGGAGTCAAAGACGGTGGTGATGCTTCCTTTAAGTTTTCTTGCCCTAAAGAGTATTTAAAATCTAATGAAACTGAACATGGAATGAGAGGTGCTACTGGACCAATTTCTACTGTTAGGTCCAGAATTGTGTCTGACCCTGTACACTGTTCAAATGTTGGTATAAGGAAACCCATTATTCCCTTCCTTAAGGGCCTATTTTGTCACCAGTAATTTGTAATTATGCATATGTAATTTGCATTAATAATCATGAGAGTTAGATGCTAGCTTTGAAGGAAGAATAACTGACCTCTCTTATCTATTTTAAAAGAAAATCTTGAT